TATATATATATATATATATATATATATATATGTGTGTGTACGTGTAATTTGTAAAAAAAGGAATTTAAAAATAATACGATTCAACAAATTTTTAATAAACACTTTGTACCAAATAATAACGAAACAGTGATTTTCGCACATAATTGTATGTTTAATATAAAAATTCTCATATTTATGCCGTGAAAGAGAAATAACGTTCTACAACACAAAGTATAAACGCATCGTCTTTCACAGACGAAAATAAATACACGGATATGGAATATCAATCTATGGTCATCAATTACTGCGAATCGCGTATCCAATTATCTACCTACAGGGTACTATTCAAAGCGAGTTGTAGTTATACCGCAATAAAATGCTGATTGAATAAACGTCAAAAAGAAAGAGAAAAAAAAGTGCTGCGAAATTCGTAGACATAAAGAGAATAAAAAGAAAATAAAATGAGAACTTCGACTACAGCTTGAGTTCTAAATATTATTCTGTTTGAAAGACATTGCGCAAATCTGTTACATCAATATTACTTAGTCTGAAAATTAAAAATAATGATTCAGTTAAATTGTTATCTTTTTTCTTAATTCCATCGTAATTATCTCACTTAAGATTCTCATTAATGCATGTTACGATGGTATCATTAATGCAGCAGTGTAAAATTACACTACATAAGTTATATAGTAAAAAATTATTTCGAAGCTGTTTCTTGTGGATTCTTGAATACTAAAAATGATATCGCAAGTTCCAACACATTAGGTTTTCTATAATTCAAATTTAATTTCCAAAAATAACTTTTTTAACAATATTTGATATTTTTTGTAAAGAAGATAACCATTATTTTGAAATTTCGATTAAAAATCATGAATGTATTTTGTTCATTCCTTAGAAAATACATTTATTTCAGTATCTTACTCTTTATGGATATATGGATGGCCGTATGGATTTAAATGCAGGGTTTTTTAAGATAACAAATTTTCCGTTTATGACGTCATAAACAATTTTTAATTCGTTGCTATCAATACACAGACACTGATCGTGCAACTTTTTGTTAAATGCGTTTTTTTAGATATTAGAGATAGGTAATTAGAATGAAACATTGTGGGTGTACATATACATTTAACATCTATAATGTGTAATTATCTATAATAATAAATTACGCTGTGTAATAGTCACATTAGAAATTATAAGTATAATGATTTCTAATAATAAGCGGAAAACTTTATTATCTTAGAAAAAGTCTGTATATGAATCCTTCATAACAGAACATCTTTCATGACTGAACAGTAAGATATTGAAATTAAAAAAAAAATTTTATAGGGGAACAATATATGACTTCTGATCAGAATTAAAAGATAACAATCCTTTTTACAAAAAAATGTCAAATAACGTAAAAAAATCATTTTAATGCATTAAATCTCGATTACTTCGGAAATCTAAGTGCTAGTAAAATTTAACTTGCAGCATCGCTTTTATCCAAAAATCTATAAGCAACACCTTGTCTAGTTCAAAGTAATTAAAAAATATTTTTTGTAAACCTAGTGTTATAGACATTCATCATTGGGCTAAAGGTCATTATGATAGTTCTAAATTATATCCTCCACTGCTTATATGAATACGCTACTAACTTTGCAGAACGAGAAAGCTACCTCTATCCCATATACATTATTGTCGAGTGACAGGATGTTCTTCCTGGGTCGCGAGTTGAATAGTTTGTTAGCCGAGAACACGCCAACTTTTCTCCATATTCTAGAGGGACCATTGTTTCATCTTTCTTCAACTACTCCTACAATCTCTCATCTCCTTTACTTGGCGTTTCATTTAACAACGAACTTTCCGCTCCTTGAAAGATACTTGAAAAGATATGGACCACCCACGGTGGTTTTGAAACAATATTCGCATTGGTTAACTAATGATAAATATAGGTAAATCAACGATCATTTAACGAACGATCACTTATCGTATTTATTGCGATACGATAAGAGTACAATGTTTTGAGAAAATTTCTGAGAATTTTACATTCGAAAATATACGAGCGAATTTCCATCTTTTCAGTAGACACTATCTTTCTTATCTTGTGACAATCTTTTCTTAACTTTACAGTTTATATTTGACGATATGAGATCAGCAAAATCACGTTGTATATTTATAAAAGAATTTTAAAATAACTAACAAAATAAAACTTAGTAGCAAACACAAACACTTTGATAAAATATTTAAAATTTTTCTACACGGAAAGAATACAGAATGTCACAAATTCCTTATTCTAAAATTCCATAACTTTTCTCTGATGCTTTGAATTTTTTTATACTTTCTAATTTAGAAACCATAAAATATTTTGTTGGAAGCAATTTAACATAACATTCTAAATATTAATATTGTTGAGTACTGCTTACATTTAATTGTTAAGTTGATAATATTCAAAACTACTCTCTAAAGCTGAATGTCTGGGTAATCACTGATATCAGTACCAAGTATGCCACTGGTAATCAGTGAATGTGAGATCCCTAACTTAGTTAATCTTATTATGTGATCTAATTAACCTTGTTTTAGTATTTAAATTGAATGAATGGAAAATTGAAATTAACGTGAAAATATCAGTATTTTAGTTATATAATACTCAAACATTCTTCCTTCTTTTAGTTGAACTTCACTGATTATCAGTGCCAAGTATGCCATTGGGTAATTAATGATTATCCATTCACCATATCCTGATTCAAATTTAGAGAATAGAGATATGATATATACGTATATTAAACTTCTTTAAAGCCTAGAATTTTAATTTTTCAGAAATAATTTTTGCAAAATTCCTTGACTTTTTCCTGATTGTTTTCAATTTTCCTAATATTTCCTAATATTTCTCTTCTTTTTAAATTTTGTGACAATCCTAGAATAATTCTGCCGAAGTATTATTATTTAAAAATTTTGCTAGATACAGCTCTAAAAATAATTTTATTGGATTATTAAAATCATTATGTAGGATATTTAAGCATAATGAATAATGTTGATAAAAGTTTCAACATTCTACACTGATAGGAAAGAAAGCTGATTGCATTAATTGGAATTTTAATTGAAAATGAACAAATCAGAATTTTCTGGTTCGTTCATTTTCAATTAAAAATTTTTCAGGTCATTGTAACTAAATTTTCAGATATTATACTTTAACAAAATTGTTCTTTTTATTATAAAATTGTTCTTCCTCATTTATTTTCTCTCTTACTTGTTTCCAATTCTATCTTTAGCAGAATATTTAAAAATATTGTACAATACAATTCCTGCTATTCTATCAATTGCTGATAAAATTACGGTTTTGAATGAAAACTTCAAATGTGTTTTTCTCGAAAACAGTATTTTATTCGTACAATACTTAAGTACTTTTTTTTTAGCTACCGTCACAATTATTGTTGTGTATTTAAACAAGTTTCATACTTGAGTTAAATTTTGCTTTAAATCAGAATCCCACGAAAATGAAATCTCGCGAATGTTTCAAGACAGTTAGTCCGAAATTGCAGTAGTAGAGTTGTTCGCAATCAGGAACATTTCTCTACTAGGATTTGCTGGTCTTTAAGCAGACGCGCATGATAAAGCATATATTGACATTGCCATATTTTCCATTAAACGATGGTGAAGATAGTAAACCAAGTAGAACAATGGAACGAGGAATATCGCAGAATTACGTATTACAAAAGGAATGCATGCGAATACGTCGCTTTATATTCGCGCATCTTAATCTCATTTACTGCCGAATTTAACATTTAATGTGACCACCTGAAATGCCAAGCACTATTATATAATGCAGGAATTCAGGTCTCCAGACGAGATCTGAATATTTACATTCCTATTTATATAAAAGCATATTATGATCCCATCTTATTATGTGGAGTGTCTAGATTGTTTTAACTATAAAAAGTCGCGTATACCTGACTCCCATTCTGATCTTATTTATGATTTACTACCTCTTGATTTATAAATGTACATTCAGTTATTATAATATAATTATATGATTAATTTGTTTTAGATGCAGCCCAAGATGACTGCTTTGTGCACGCTACTGATGTTCGTAGTCGTCGTCGCAGTTTCTAGTCTCACAGCCGATGCAATACCGCGGTAGATAACGTAACTCTTTCTATCTTTGATAAATCGGGAAGACAAGAGAGACAAAAGTTATTAGAATATTATAAAAATTATTAAAAATTATTAAAAATTATTAAAATTATTATTAAATCCTGTGTGTGCCGAGTCAAATATAATAAAACGCCCGAATTTTCTCTCTTTAAAAAAAGTCATATATAGTGTATAAAAAACTTTAACATTATAGAATTATATGGTTGAACGCTATCAGTAAATATTTAGCTATAATTAATTTAGCTATAATTAATCAAGTTATATTCAACAATAAGTAGGCGCCCGAAATTAATTTTTAAATATACTCAACTTCGAATCAATGCAAATCGAGATTTCCCCGAGTGCTTATTTACAATTAAATGAATATATTGAACGAGAAGCAGAAGTGCATCTGCTCGGACAGTTTAACCTAGTTTCTATTTGACACGCCAGCCGATTGAAAAGAATCCTGGTAACTGAAATGACTCGTCGAACGACGTTTTAGACAATCGCGAAGAATAATTCCGAGTTGCAGGCATATCTATTAACGCCGTCTCTGAATTATTTGAACTATATTTGAACTATATTTTTACCTCTCTCACATCATTCATTTCAGTTTCCAGAGTCTCTTTCTCGTGAGAGAAAAATAGATTTTATAGAGGTCGTAAGTTTTGGCGATTCTTATCGATTTCCCAGGTTAAATTACATTTTCAACGTCCATTTCTTATCTCGTGTAATTCGATGTTTATTATTGTGTGCAGTTTTCACGATTAATCGATCAATTCCTCAATCAATTCTTTTACACTACGCACGCAGCCATGAAAGTTATTGGGATCAGCAAGATGACATAGACCGAGACGAGTTTCTAGAGATACTCTCTCGTCTTAGTCGCTTCAACCGTCCTGAGATGGAAAAGTAAGATAATGTTATACAATGATATCTTAACGTTATGCATAATTCATGTTACTGTCCCTGTCCAAACTTGAAACGCAAAACGTCTTTTAAACATCATATCTTATCATGTCATGATTTTAGATAAGTATGCTGTCAAGTTAATAATTAATATATGTGGAATGTTAATTTTATTAATATTGAGTTAAAATAAAAATTCGTAACACTTCAAAATTCAAGCGACTAAAAATGAACAAACTTTAACTATCAAAAACAGTTTTAAAGCTTAAAGTCTTTACTTACAAAAAGTTTCTAACGCTAGCTGCGTTCAGCAGACTTAACAGTTGAGTGAGCGCTCGCTGTTAATGTATTCTTCTAAATCATCCAATCTTTTTAATCTAGAAAAATACATCAATAGCGAATATGTTGAGTCTGCTGAACACAGCTTAAGCCTTCTAAATTTCTGTTTTTGCCTGTAGTAATTTTTACATATAGAAAACTATTAACTGAATAAAAGGAAATTTTCTTCCCATTTTGTGCCCAAAAAAAACTTGTCAAAGTAATCGAACCTCCTTAAGTTTATTATTATTTTTTGTTACTGCTATCGCAGATTTAATAAAGAAGCATTTTGACTTAGCTTTTAACTTCGTTAAAAATCATCGTATCGTAGTCCAAAAAAAAATAGAGACTTAAAACTGAAACTGTGTTCTATCGAATGATATAATTGCCAAATTTTTTTAAACACATAGACATAATGTAAATAAAGTAGCGCTACGAATTTTTGTTCAACTCAATATATTGTTTATAGATGTATATGTGTATATATTTTTTTAGAAAATTATACCTATGTTTACTATGACTATTTACTGCTTTAGTAATATTTTAGATAATTGATTTTCAAGAAAACTTATTAAAAAATTCATTTAGAATTACTTAACAAAAGTTGAATCTCAAATTAAACTGCGGTGCAATAAAAAGCATTTATAGCTTTAATATAAGAAATTTGGGATTTGTCAACGAAAATTCTATATTCAGAATATCATTTTTCCTTCGATACTTCTTCCGTACCGCAATGTCTTTTTTATTTGCCTTTAATTCCATCGGATATAAATGGAACCACTTATTTTAGGACGGGCTTTATTTAAAAAATGTCGATAATGGATTTTTATTGTACATGCCCTTTTTTACATCGGCATACATTCATATATAGACTTCGTTTCAATCAATTGATATAAGAGAAGCGAGATAGAATCGGAGATGTCTAGCTCTTATTATACATATACGTCGGGATGTGCTATTCGAATGCTTTTTTGTGATGCTTTGAGTTTTGCGAACCCGTGTTTGTCGGAGCAAAGCCCTTTCTAAGATGATCGATTCAAATAAGAGTGTGACAAACATTCAATCGGTATGTTCGCAGCACCAAACGAGGATTGGATCTGGGTCTCAATCGTGGCTACAGCGGTTCTCAGGCGGCGAAACACATGATGGGACTCGCGGCAGCGAACTACGCCGGCGGTCCCGGACGAAGGCGTCGCTCGGAACAAGCGTAGATCGCAGACACGCAGATCACTGATACAGAGAGATTACTATACAACTCGTAATAACGTCATTCCCGACTCGATCCTTCCACTTTATCTCTACCTCGAGCTTGAACCACTGATCTCAGAATCGTCCGTTGCCAGTGGCGTAACTATTATAAATGCACTCGAGCGATGAATTCTTCTCTTCTCTCAAATAAACCTGTAGAGTGTGTATAGACATACATTTCCTCCGAAGCATAAAACTAGCATAAGTTCCTTAATTAAAAATTATAGATACGATTATAGATACAACTATAGTTAATTGGTGTTGATAAATTCCAATTTTACATTTCACCATTTAATCCTCACGCACTTACAGCTTTTGCACACTCCTAGTTGCACCACTGGCAGTTTGCAACTGCATTGTTAATCGCTCTTTATTTTATTTGTGTAGAAGCGAATGCGATATAATTGCTTTGAGCGAAATGCTTTTATTTAAAATAAATTTGAAGTAAATATATCTACATATTTATAAATGGACACAAATAGAGTCCATTTATTTGCTCTATATCAGTTCCAAAGAACACAATTCAATCTTTATTTAAGAAGTAATTAATAATAAATGCCAAAGTTTTTCTAAAAATTTTATAGACTAATTCAAGTTAGACTTAGAGTTTCCGTTTACTCGCGGATTTTTTTCTTTTTATTAAAAAAAAACATCCAGATCTCTTATAACAATTTTATAATCTAATTTTATACGGTGGATCGCTCGACTTATTTTTACGATTAAATATTTCTTTCCTCCTTTCAACAAATAAAGAAAAAAAAATTCGCAAGTACCGTAAAGATATTCTTGCCAGATATTGCTATTGCATTTTATTCTTTCGCTATATTTATTGTTATGCATGAGCCGCGTATGAATTAGCAACTTTATTCCTGCCGTAAAATAAACAAAGTAAATAGACGTAACATTTCGCTGATTCAACAAGAAGACTCCTTCGAGTCGCGCCTCCGCGAATCGATGATGTTCCACTTCTGGGCTGCATTTATTCTAGATATTACTATCTGCAATTGAAATCGTATATCGCGACGAGTTCCTCCTCCGAACAAGCACTGCGTGCGAGAGAGAATTTTTCCTTAATCCTTTACGTGCGTGGAATAATTTTTCTCCTGCAGCTTCTGAACGCTCGCTTCGTTAAATTTTCATACCAAACGACGTACTGTACGATTCCTCGCACTCCTTCGCCTTTCGATCTCCTTCCTTCTCCGATATTCTAATATCTCTCTTGTAAAAAAAACGACTCGTCGTACTTACTATAATAATCATAATCGATGTTGCGTTCATTAGATCAGGCGTTCTCAAATTTCATTTGCGCTGACGACAAAGCAAATACGCGTTGTGTGCGAATTTTTCATCAGCAAATCTGATTTCATCGGTCAGCTAGAGTTCCGTAAGAAATTTCGCGGTGGCTTCGGACGATCGTATTTTTTAATTTTATGCGTATCGAGCGTTTTACAGCACTTCGGCGTGTCGCGCGAAATGATTTGAGGACCCTGCTATTTAGGTTCTTCATTTTATTTTACTAGCTCCAACGTCTATCTACATCTTATGTAACGCAACGTGCACCGGATGCACATGCGCTTGCATAAAATATAAACATATAAAAATACGACGTAGAGATAATAAAACTTAGTTTCTCTTTCATGTTATAGACTTAGAATTAGTCCGTAGATCAGGGATGCGCAAAAAATGTCCGATTTATTTTAAAATAAAAAAAAAGGAAAAAAAAGCAGCTCGATGACTTTTTCGATATTTCGATATATTATTGTATTACAAATCGTGTCGAGGAAACAAATGTCGAACATTCTGTATGACTTTACGAATTCGATTATATGTAATCTAGCTAGAAGTTAATCAAATTTCCAATAAATTATATTTGAAATAGTAAAATTCTTTTCAGAGATGATTGATCGATCAACATCGAATCGATGCTGATTCAACATCGATCGACTAATCATTTCTAGCTGGATTTAGCTTTTGTAGCGAGCGTTTTTTCAATAATATATTAACAGACTTTTACAATTTCAAATGCTACGAATCAATTATAACGATTCAATTGTAACGAAATTTAAAATTTTATTTAAATTAAACGGTATCTATTCTGACATTTAGCTTGTGCATTCCTGTCAACAGGTGGTAACCAAAATGCACAGTAAGTATCGATAACGGTTCCGTAAATCGCATTCGATGACAACACATGATATAATTGAGAAGACTTGGAGTCAAGTAAATTACACGAGGTTGTCAGATTGTACTTCTTTAACAATATAAAATTATATTAACAACAGAATAATGTTCGATATAGAGATAATTATGATTACTCCAAGATTTAGATTACTTTTCGATTGAAAAAGTATTAACATACGTCATTAAAATAATCTACAAGATAATGTTAATTAAGCGACTATTAATTAATAAACAAAAAAATGGATCCTAGTATTATTATAAATATATGATAACGTTTGTCGTATTTTTACGATTATTTTGCGACATAACTCCTGTTGCTTCAATACGTGACGTATGATATTATTTATTTTGATCGACGGATTGATATTTTGATTGCGGATCTCGTTTCATAGATAAATTACCTACTATTTCGGAAACAAATGTGTGCACTGCACGGACGAAGCGATTTGTTCGCTTAATCGCGAAATCCTGTTGTTTGGTTATCACCAAAACGAAGCGCGTGAAGTCGACCTGCGTTATTTCTGTGTATCATAAAAAAAATTTATTGCGCCTCTAGTAAAAACTGATCGTAAATAAAAGTTACTTTAACCCAGCCATGCGCGTATATTTATTTCGACAACATATTCCGTATTTTTTTGTGTCCAATGCTAAATATAGTCTGTTTCTCTTTATCACTAAATTTTAAAATGGGGGACATACGATACGAAGTACAAAAAACACGATACGGAGAAGACATATTCCTCCAGTATTGTAAATTGTTGACAGTAAAACAGCAGTTTTTCAGTACAAAAAAAGCGTCAACATTCTGTTTTTGACTGTTGTAAAAAATTATATAAAAAATTATATAAGAAATATAAAATCATTTGAGAATATTTTGAATACTTTTAATAGAACGTTAAAAGTTTTTTTGCTACGTACTCTCAAAAGTGCAACAAATCAATTTTCAAGCTCAAAATTGCTAAACAATAAAGGTAACAGAGAGATCAAACATGAATAAATAATTAGGTCACAAAATAAAAAAACCTAGTTTATTTTAAAAATTAAATTTCAAGAATATTAATACTAGTTTTTTCAACAAATAGACAATATAGGTTTTGATTTAACTAACAAATGGCTTGACAAAATAAAAAAAATATATGTATTATTTCTGAATCTATTTAGAATAACATTCATAAAAACATATATATATTATTCTGAAACTATTTAGAATAGCATTCATTATTTTCGAAGAATACTCCAATAATAAAACACGCGATTATCTTAAAACCATTGCGCTTAAAACCATTAATAATGTTGTAACCATCAAACATTTATCAACACCTTACTATCAATAAGAGATAAAAGTCACTAATAGACCATTAAAACCATTAACAATATCGCTTCAAATATCACACAGTCGAATGAAGTCATTTTATAACGAAAAGAAAACAATACATCGCTCCATAATCAAGAAACAACTGATGCGCAACTGAAAACCAGATGCGCATTTATATGGAATTTATGTAAGTATGACACACGAATACACACGCACATGTATATATAAGCTTTCACGGTCGATCTTTCAGCCATATACAGCACGAGGATGAGCGTGCTGGAAAGAAGAGAACGTGAAGTGAACGCGTGTCGACTTTCATCCGCGGACGATTCTGTGATTCGCAGCAGTGATAATAACAGAGTGTGTGTTATCGAATTCGCGTCCGCGAATTCGACTGACTGTTGCATGTTTCGGATTGCAAATCACGAGTACGTGCAATTTCGTTCGGCATTCACGCACGTCACGCATCTCCCTCCGCGCGCTTCATGAAGAACGCCAAGAGGATATCACACGACGTGCTGCAGCGGTCGCAGTGCCGTATCGACCACGGTAGTTTTTAGTGCTGGCGTAGCCGAACGACGTCCCACGTCGTGTGTATGAACAGAGGTAAACTTTGCCTTACATGATAGATAATAAAGAAGTCTGCGATAAGCGTACTGATATTTTTTATCTGATAGAGAAACAAGTGTTTTTCTAATAAACACAGTTCAGAGAAACTATCTGACGTAATTGAATTCAGTGAATCATTTGTTTGCAAAACCGGATAAGCCCGTGATCTTTTACGAAAATAAGTAAAGCTATCTTTGGCTTAATAGCTTCTTTGATTTAAACGTGGGAGTCTCATTTTTTTTTAAATATTTGTCACACAATAAAAGAAAAGAATTTTCTAATTGCATTTTTAGGAAATATATAATTTTGTAATTTAGATCAGTTTTAAACATGGATATCGAACTTTAAAAATGTGAAAATGTTATCACATTTTTATTTCTTCCTACACGAAGAAAAATGATTTTGCTATGAACACAGGATTGCAAAATTTAATTGTCAAATTTGTGTGCTGTTTATAGTAAAGAAATTTGCATATTTGACAAATATTTTGCATTTGTTGCAAATAATTTTTGTAATGTACAAAAAAGAATAAATATTTGTAAAACTGGCAAATAATTTGCGATCCCTATATTTGCAAATTTGCCATTATGGCACAGAATTAGCGTTCATAACAAATTTTTCTCTCCATGTATCGTTTTTATTTCTTTAATTTATGGTTATTGTTAGATCTGTATAATCTAAATTTCTGTTTTGCTAAAATAATGATTCATAACTGAAGGGATAATTCCAAGTTATTGAGATAAACAAAGCAACTGGTTCTCAATCGCGCAAAGTAACTTTATATGTATACTAACTTATTTTACACAAGGAACAGCTGCTAAATGACTAGGTTTGTACCGAACTCATTGCGTTAGCCGCTAACGAGCTCTCGTTTACCATCTAGTCTACGATTGGAGAAGTTACTTGAGATTGCTACGGGAAACGTGTAATTAGGCCAAATGGATCGGGCCAGAGGACGTACCTCGATGGGTAATTGTCGTATCCGAAAGCTTGGCGTTTGCGTAAGCGTGATTATACTCGGAACCTTCATCGCTTGTATGCTGTTAGCGTACACAACGTTTGCATCTCTGGTTACCGAACCTGACACGTTGCAGCAGGTGGTTTTTGTGAGTAGCTCATTTGTAATAGTTGACCTGTCATCTCGCTTCCATTAACGTGTTAATTTAATTTTAATGTTTACGTTTAATGAAACTTGAATCTATTAACTTCACAATTTTACGAGATATTTAATCATTTTATTTTAACATCATAAATGGTATCCAATAGCGAGATGAAATACGTCCGACATATTGAAAAAAATCTGGTGATAACAATAATCAGTCTAAACAGATACTAAAGCTTCGATAAAATAATTTCAATCAAATATAATCAAAACTAAACGCTATTTTTATTTTTCTAAATATTATCTTAATTATTATTTATACCTCTGTAATTAATTATAATTATTTTGGTAATAATAGTACCAATCAAATAATAATAATTTACGTAAATATTCCATCAATATGTTGCTAAACAAGATATGTTTAGTAGCTATTACCAGATTTCTTTTTTAGTATATTAAAAATATCTGTAATGTTATTTTAATTTTTTAAGCATTTAAATGAATCCTGCTTCAGGAATTTTAATCAAGGAATTTATTAAATGAGGAAAAATGCGATGAACTTGTGTGTTAAATGAATAGTATTTTTCTCTCATACAGAAATCGTCATTATTTGTTGACAGCTGTTTCGTCATGGCGATCGAACTCCTACAGAAACCTATCCTAAGGATCCTCATATAAATTATAATTGGCCTGGTGGCTGGGGTTCTTTGACCAAGGTTCGAACAAAATACGTATAGATACTGATGAATCAATGTTACCGTATATAATATGATAATATATATCCAGATTTGCTATAAATAAAATCCTTGCACAACATGTATCACGATTGTAAAACGCGTGATCGAGCATGAATAATGATGCACAACGCGTTATCAATCTCGAAATCCATTTTCAGAAAGGAATGCGTCAACTGTATAACATGGGTCAGTGGTTACGCTTAAAATACGGCCCTATAATCGGTCGTAAATTCGAGAGCACAGCCACGCTGATACGTAGCAGCTACGCGGATCGGTGCGTCATGTCGGCACTGGCATTACTCGCCGGATTGTTCACACCAAGTCCCGAGAACATGTTCGTGCCCGATTTGACATGGACTCCCGTTCCTGTACATTCGATACCACGGGAATTGGACAAGGTGTAATACAAAATTAAATTTATAATGTTAAATCAAAAGAATTTTCTTACAGTTTAAAATTTTATATGAAGTCCTATTCGCTGTCTCCTTGTTTTAAAAGATCTCTTTTTTTAATATTTATTATTGTTCAAATAAAAACACGTAATTTATAACCTTAAGATTGCAAGTCAATTAATTGTTATAATCTCTATATAAACATCAAATTTTAACATAAAATTTCATTTTACGTTGCAAAAACACTTGAATTAAAATAGTACAATATGATAAGAAGATATATTTGTTATTTTAACTCGTCGGCTATGTCAAATTTTATATCTCCCGTTAGCAACTTGAGTTTTTGAGCATAAAGACAAATTATTCCAGATTATAAAAATCTGAAAAAATTCTTGTCTACTCATGAAAACTTTAACAACGAGTTTTTATCATGGAAGTTGAATTGTTTTACTTATTTTTTACAGATTTAAATTTATAACCAAAATTCATAATCAATATATCGATTATGATTTCAAAGTCCAATTTGGCCGGCAAAAAATTAAACAAATGATAAATTACTTGTTAAAAACATGAAAGTGATCTCTATAAAGAAATTTATTTTTCAATACAGTGATATTGTAGCTGTAAATATTATTGTAGCTGATTGCGATGAAGGCACCATGTCCAAAGCTAGAAGCGGCTCTAAAACAGGCGTACATAGAGGAAGAAAAAAAATCAGATGAGAAAATGGCCGAGTATTATATGGAATTAACGCAGCACACCGGACAGAATATGAGCACGATTATCGATGTCGAGTTTCTTTACAACACCCTCGAGATCGAAGAGCAACACAATTTACAACTTCCAGCATGGACGCAAAATTTTTACAACGACAAGATGCGCGAAATAGCCGCTCGTAGTCTCGCAATCTTCACCGAAGGCACTATTCAAAAACGTCTTCGTGGAGGTATGACGATATCTCTATAGCGATAAATATCGCTGAAAATATACTTTTTTAAATTATATCATAAAATCTTGTTTTGGAAATTATATTATCACTATTTGCAGGGCCGCTACTAAAAGAGATTTTACATTGCATGGAAGAGAGTAAAGACAATCCCAAATCGAAACGATCTTATTTTTATTCCGCTCACGACATAACTATCGTTAACGTGATGAGGACAATGGGATTCACGAATGAGCTTCTTAAACCAGATTATGGAGCGATGATCATATTGGAGTTACACTTCGTCAATGATGGAGCCGACCAAGAAGTAAAGGTATGGATAGTTATCGTAATATTATCGTAAAGTTTTATGATACAGCTATGAATATTTTTATAATCAGAAATTGTTTCACCTATCGTAAAAAAACTTTAACACGCTGCAAATTCCGTCTAAGTATTTTATTACGTCATTATTGAAAATTATAATAGATATTATATTATGTAATTACCGGAAATAATGTGTAATCGATTTAATTAATTAATGGTAACAATTAGCGTTTCTGCATAATTGCTGAGATTCATCCGGAATTCCTGAAATAGTTCCTATTTGCATACCAATATATTACATGTATATTATCTAATAAATACTTTTATATCTCCCGCGATTGCTATTCTAGTGATTTATAAATTATAAAATAATTATATAATAAACTAATTTATTCTATTCTCTGTTTGTTATCAAAGGCACTATATTTAAATAATACAGAAATGGACAACGCGCATCGTTTGGAAATTCCTAACTGCGCGAGTCCTTGCCTATTGCAAAACCTGAAGCAAGTGTGGCACGAAGTGATTCCGAATGATTGGGATGCAGAATGTAAAATGTAAAACTATTGATGAGAGTACGCAAAAATTCATACATATTTCATACTTACTTAAACGATACAAATGGACGTTTCTATTACATTTCGAGCTGTTTTCAGCGAAAATTCTTTAAATCTTACGTTCTTGGTTAGAGATACAATCATTATTCTGATGCCATTTAAATCGAAAGAACAAATATATAGCTTAAAGAATCATCAAAAGAGATTAAAAATACAAATTTCTTCAGAAATAAAGTAAAAATTTGCAATAAGAAAAAGTAAAGTACAGATAAAATGTAATGAAACATGAACGAACCAATTTACAATTATGTTTCTAACCTGTTCAACATGATTGCACATTTTAAGTATGAAATGTACATATATGAACTTTTGCGCACAAAGTACCACGCTATACTCTCATTGCTGATCTCATTGTAAATTATATTTTTCAAATAAGAGGATGCTGCTAAGTTTTCTTTTTATTTAAAGAATCACTAAGTTTTAGATAATAATTTACAATATGTTTACAATTGTACTTTATTATGAAATTAAATTTGCACTTTCACGTGAAACTGCATATAAAAAGCGAAACAAGAGATATAGTTCAGGAGACAAACTATTAGCGTTATTTATGTCATTCTATCCTTATTTTATGAAATGAACGATAAACATAGAATGACACAAACAGCGCTAATAGCGTTTCTCCTGATATACTTAATGCTAATAATTTAGTATGTATTAAATGAAATATATGTAATTCCGAGATCAATACTTATTAATTTAAATGTAGGACCAGTTACATTAATACTTGTAATTATTAATCTCGTAATTATCACACACACAATGTAATAATAATTAGCAATTAAGGAATCTCAGATTTATACATTTCTAATATTATCACAAAATAATAGCATTAAAATAATATATGTATAACTAATTGTAAGATAGAAAGAAAACTAGAAGCGTTTTCGCAATAATGTGAAAATTTTATTGTACTTACTAATGTTGATCTACTAATAAAACAATGTCATTGTTTGAATATGTACTTCTTTTTTCACCTGCGTATATATGAAGAATCCATCGATGGACGAATCAATCTGTTATGCGAATTCTGTAAAAATAAAATTCATACAAGCAGGTGTAATTAAAAATTGCTTCAGTAAATTCTTATTTGTCGATATGAATGTACAGTACGAAAAATTTAGCACAGAAGGCGCCTCTGACATCTTATTGCAGATAATCGTCAAAACTGTTATCAGTAATAGAAATAGGATCGTCAATATCTTATGCAATTGTGATAAATGATAAGAATGATATCATTTCAGCAATATCTGTATTGACGCTAAGTATAAGATAGAAATTTTTAATGCAAGAAGTTATAAAAGAAACTTTTCAATTTCTTTAAGAAAATATTTTCCCAAGAAAGTTAATTTCCATTATTATGTCGTTTGTACTTTTCAATATAAAATTACATTTTGAATCGCATTTTGAAAAAAAATTGTCAGTTATTTTTTTATTAAATTATGATTTAATAAATTATAATTTGATTATATTATTTATCGAAATTTCTTTGTTTATTTTTCACTGCGATTACTGTTTCCAGATATTTAAAAAAAATCGAATTAACTCTTAGATTTAAACAGAGATTATATATTATATTAGAAGAATTTAAAAAAAATAAAAATAACTTTTGAGATCTTTTAAGAATCTTTTAAGAAATCTTCTTTTTTTACTAAATTTTTTACTAAAAAAATAAATAAATACAGATTTATACGACAAAAATATGAAAGTGTTCTGAACAAATTATTAAAAATAAAAGTTGATAAACTCGCTGAATAAACTTGCTGAATTTTTCAAAACTTAACGTTGCATTGCTAAGGACATCCGCATTCTGCTCCTTAGGAAGACTACGAATGTCTGCAGTCGAGTGCACAATGTGCACGTAACAATTGTCAGTATCCCTGCAAACCAGTTGTAATTCAAGCGAAGCTTGTTAAGACGAATAAATGGACACGAAATCGTTTAACCGGGATGTGCCCATTTTGCTTATGCAACGGCTGACACTGGACCCGTTTTGCATATCATTGCGTAATATCATGTATGATTATTGGCGTGAACTATTGTCTGTTGTACCGAATAGTGCGTGAGCAATTAGCAATTAAACAGTCGCGCTCGATGCAATAGGGAGATACACTTCTGATCTCAATGCGTGTTCTATTTATGGATAAATTGAATGAAATGTTTTGTCATGATATGATTTTAATTAATTTCTTTTGTCTATAGATTATTGCCAAAAAAAAAGTAAAAATGATTTTTTTCTAATAAATAAAAAAAATAATTTAAGTGACAACGGAATAATTAAACACTTAGGCGAATATTAATTCAATATAATATTTCGGTCGATACGCGAAATTCTCTTCAAGTAAGATCAAGGAATTATAATTTTTTTCTAAGTTACAGATATCGCGTTGTTAATTTGATTGCTGCGTCCGCAATATTCCATTTTTTATGTCAATCAGAATCAAGGAAATTGCGGCTAACTCAATGCTATGCATTTAATAGAAAAGATAAAACAGAAGGTTTAGCTCGTGCTTATCATTTTTCATGACTCATTATTTAACGATTTAAATTTTATTCGCGCGAATCTACTGCATTGCTAGATTCAACGTTTCGTGATTCGATCGATCTTGCATGAGACAAGGTCACAGTTATCGATTGTCTCTCTTGACGTGGTCACATATTGTTAACATTACGCCTTCGTTATGTCACTCATTTGTTACCATTACAGCATTACATAATTTACTGTTCGTAGGAGGAAATTCTAGTGATCTGGGATACCCTATATTTTCCCGATTTCGTAGATCTTTTTTCTCATTAGCAAAAGTAAGGAAAATTCTCGCGTAGGTAGCAATAGATACCCGCTAAATGTTCTTTGTTTTACTGATTTGTTATACAATCATTTACATTTCAACTTAAAGGAAAAACAGTAATGAGTGAGGCTCTTTAAATAAACCGATAAAATAAACGAATAAAGTAATAATAATTATTTATAAAAGGAAATCCTAGTGAAGTGGTATATCCTATATTTTTCCAATTTTTCCAATCTGCAGATCTCTTTTCTCATAATTAATAAATGTAAGGAAAACGATTACGTGAGTGGCAATAGACATCCGCTAAACGTTTCTCCGTTTTAATGATTTATTGTGCAATTTTTTACATTCAAATTATTTATATTCATTTAATAAAAGAAAACATGAGTCAATCATTAAAGAAATAAATAAATGACTAAAGTAATAATTAAAGTAATAAGTTGATTTTTAAATTATTCAATACATTTTCGTAAAATTTCCTCACTTATGAAGTTATTAATTCTTGCCATCATCATTTTCTTAATCTTTTAACAATTTCTAGCACAGTAAGATGTGCTTTAATGGCTACAATAAAGAAAAATATAAGAGCTTCATTTATGGAATAGAATAATATATTAATGGAATAGAACTTCGTTAATGCAAGTGAAAATGAAAATGAAGAGGATATACAGGAATTAAAAGAAAAAACATTATTTATTTATGCTTTAAAAGCATCGTTTTGAGCACAAAATGATCAATTATTAAAAGATTTTATATTTAATATAATATTAATATAAATTATTAATTTTTGTTTATCATGCGTAATAATATTTTATATTTATTATACATAATTGCATAATATACGTATATATATATATATATATATATCATTATATAAATTACATAATAAGACATAATTGATTATATATTATACACAATTTATATATAAATATAAATTATATTTATGTAATAAAACTCAACTCTTCGCGCTTCGAAGAATAAATAGATTTCGACTAATCTTCCATCTTTTATTTTTTTAATTCTAACCCTTAATTAAGAATGACATTTATCGTACCTTCACGTATCCTCGCTTTCCTCGGCATCCCTCACGTTGATTAACGATGAAAATGACGAGAAACTTTCGCGAACTGACGTTACGCATATTTTTTTCATTGAACTTGGTAACTAATTCGTCGACAAACATCGCGCTGACAAATCTCTTAGAATTGCGAAACGACGAAATTTGAAAAATAATCGTAGGAATCGAACTCAACAACTTCGTGCCGGAATAGTGCCCAACTTCACGATGAATGCAATTCAAGATGCGGGAATACCACGCGAATGCTTTAATGATTAATTTAGTTTCGCAATGAAAATTGTGAAGTATAATAAAGAATCGTGGAAGTCTGGAAGCGGAAAACTCTGCCGAGAGAGAGATAATCGGTCGGACTCTCACAAACCGAAATCTCACAAGCACGCACGTCGCGTCGCGTTTGATAGTAGAAATAGAAAGAAAATAGGTAATGGAGATTAAGTACGCGATATCTGTTATCTCGTATTTCTACGTTTCCTCTTTACGTCTAACTGTTTCTGTATATGTTATTTTCCGTTTGTTTTCGACACGAAGAACGATGAGACATCTCCGATAAAGCACGCGCGTTCGATCGCGAATTATGAAACTATCAATCTTGTCATCAATCTGAATTTGGGCACGTAATTCGCACTTCGGCAACTAAATGCGTTCAGTAACTAATTTCAAGTTAGTCTTTTAAGTCTTGTTCTCTCAAGATTGAAAATAAAACTTTAAATCGTAAAAATTAATCTCTAATTAAGATTTCCAAGCCGATTTCCGCATTTCAGGCCGATATTAATAATCATTTCTTATTTTAAGATCATCTTAAGTAATATCTTAAAAATACTAACATGGTTCGCTATGATTGATTTATAATATCTTAAGATTGTACTTAAGATGATCTTAAAATAAGAACTGAATGAATATCGGCCTCATTTTCCTCATTTTCCTTTCATTGTCCAATTAATTTTAAACTCAGCTATATTAATTAGATTTATTCTTTGTCACTGGACTGCATTTTCTTTCTCTTTTCACTAAATTTCAAATATATATTTATCTGTTTCATTTTAAGCGTACGAGTATATATATATATAGTCTGTTACAAAGAACAGATCCATTAATTAATGAATTCACTCGTTCATTTATTCGTATTATTGAGGGCACAATGAAAAGAATAAGGAACAGAGAATAATACGCAGGCAATAGATTAAACCTATTAAAAATTATGTATTATAGTAATTTCTGATGAGTGTGTTATATATTTGTTATGTTACTCCCTGTTATTCTTTTGCTTTTCATTTGAATAAAATCTTGCGCAATGAAGGAAATATTAGGAAATAATAAAAAATTTTTTTTATAAATAAAGAAAGAAATTGAAAAATAAATAATGAAATAAATATTAAAGAAATAAAAAAATTAGAAATAGAGATTAAAAGTAACATACAGTGGATACAATGAATTACATGATACATGAATTAAGACACATATCATATCTTATTTGTATCTATTGTGATTTAAATTCAATCTTTACTCTTAATTTGATTTTTATAATATTTAATATTTATTATCTATTTATTAATACTTATTTCTAATTTTAATATTCTTTCATTATGCACAGTGTTTTTCCTAACTCGAGTACAAGCTAACAGTAACATTATTACACATCAATGTTATAGTTTCCTACTTAGCAATATATAATAATGTAAACTGTTATATATGTACAACATGTGTTATGTTACAGTTATATTAAATTAATAAGTTAAATAGGAAATCATAATGTTGATGTAATGTACTGTTAGTTTATGTTTAACGGGAAATAATTTAAGTGTGTATATATTCATTTAAAAAATCAGTATAA